TTTTTTTCTTTCTTCCATTTCATCTCTGTAACCTAGCTAACAAAAACTCTCCTCCTTTAAAGACATTATGATTAGATTTGGTCCACCATATAATCAAGGGTAGTCTCCCCATCTCAAATATATCGGTGAAATATGTTTTCCCATAGAAGGTAACATATTTACAAGCTCAACATATTTACAAAATACAACATATTTACAGAAATTAGGACATGGGGATCTTTGGAAGCCTATAGTTCTGCTTATCACACAAAAGTACTAAAATTTGGGGAAAGAGAATATACAACTATAGCATTGAAATTTTAAAATATTTTACAGAAAGTAATACAATATTAATTGTAAGAAAAATATAAAAAGTTAAAAAAATGCAACTGCAAAGAAAAACATTTTTTAATATTGCAGAAAAATATAGCTAAAATTTTATAGACAATTTTTAAGAATTGTAAAACAAATTCAAATTTTTTAAAGTCTGTCAAGAAAGGAGGAAGTGAGGACCAAAAACAAAGACAAAGAGAAATAGTAACAAACGGTGAAAATAAAATTCAAACACACTGATAGTTACATTAAAGTACAATGAACTAAACACACACCAATTCAAAGGCAAAAATTGTCCTAATAAAATTTAAAAGATAAAAACAATTATATGATACTTGTAAGAAATGCATTTTTAATATAATGAACAGACTGAAAGTAAATAAAGAGAAAAGGACACACAAACAGTAAGCATAGAGTGGAGTGACTGTTTTTACCAGATAAAATATATTCAAAGACAAAAATTATTCTCAGAGGAAAAAAAGTCTGACACAGAAGGCCATATAATATATGATTACATTTATATGAAGTGTCCACAAAAGGCAAATCTGAAGAGACAGAGAGTGAATGAATGGTTTGCAAGTGCTTGAGAAAGTAAATAATGGAGAAATACTGCCAATAGGTACAGAATTTATTTTAAGAATGACAAAATGTTTTGAAATTAGATACTATTGATGGATGTAAAACTCTGTGAATATACCAAAACTAACTGAGCTCTGCACCTCAAAAGAGAAAAATTTATCATATGTGAATTATATATCAATACATCTATTATTTTAAAAGTATTCTGAGAGTAAATGTATAACTCATAATAATAAAAGGGTCAATTTATCATAAAAGACAGGATAATCATAAATATGTTTGTACTAATTAAAGAGCTTTAAAATACATAAAACAAAAATATTACAGTATTTAAGGGAGAAATAGACAACCTCACAATCATTGTTAGCTATTTAAAGACCCTCCTCTTACTTGATAAAACAACTAGACAAAAATACAGCAACAATATAAATGATCTGAACATTATCTAACACATTAAATTAATAGATAGACAACTGATGATAGATGATAGATGAGAGAGAGAGAGAGAGAGAGAGAGATAAAAGAAGGGAGGGAGGAAAGGAGGAAGGAAGGATGGAAAAAAGGAACTATACCCAACAGCAAAATACTCATTTTTTAGAGTACTTAAGGTGCTTTTCCCAGAATGTATCATATAATGTGCCATAAAAGAAGTCTCAATACATTTAACAATACTGAAATCACACAAAATTTGTTTCTGAACCTCAATGAGACTAAATTGGAAATCAATAGCAATAATATAACTAGGAGAAATATAAATATTTGACAATTAGAGAACATACATTCAAACGATAGGTGCATTAAAGAAGACACTCAAGAGAAATTATAACATCATTTAAACTTAATGACAATAAAAATATAACATATCAGAATTTACAAAATATAGTTAAAGCAGCATTTACAGAGATATTTATACATGTAAATGTCTATGCTAGAAATAAATTTTAGAAGATAATTATTTTAATTCCCATCTTAAAAACTAGACAAAGAGAAAAATGAACCTAAATGAAATGGGAAAAAGAAAATAATAAAGGAAGAAATCAATGAAATGCAAAAGAAGAAAAACAATAGATTATTATCATTAAAACCAAAGTTAGTTATCTCAAATATAAGTAAAATTAAAAATCACTTGTCTATGCTAATAAAGAAAAGAGGGTCCAGGCACAATAGCTCACACCTGTAATCCCAGCACTTTAGGAGGCTGAGGTGGGCAGATCACTTGAGGTCAGGAGTTTTAGACCAGCCCAGCTAACATGATAAAACCCAGTTTCTACTAAAAATACAAAAATCACCTGGGTGTAGTGGCACACACATGTAATCTCAGCTACTTGGGAGGCTGAGGCAGGAGAATTGCTTAAACCTGGGAGATGGAGGTTGCAGTGAGCCAAGATTACTCCACTGCACTCCAGTCTGGGTGACAGAGCAAGACTCTGTCTCAAAAAAAAAAAAAAAAAAAAAGGAAAAAATAAAAGAGAAACACACGTCAGAATATCAACATAGAAAGAAGGTACATCAGTACAGATCCTACATACAATGAAAGCACAATAATGGAATACTATAAACAACTTTATGTAACATATTAACATCCTAGATGAAATAAATTCCTTAAGGTCATAAAGTACCTAATTCAACCAAAGAAAACACAAAATCCTTGAATACCTTATATAAATTAAAGAATGAATGTATAATTTTAAAATCTTCCCACAAAGAAAACTCCAGGATCAAGTAGCTCTGCTGTTGAATTCTATCACATATTTTTAAACCAATTCTAGACAAACTCTGTCAGAAAATAGTGAAGAACACTTCCAAAATTCCTTTATCTGGACAGAGATCCCTAAATCAGAAAATATTATAAGAATTATAAAAGTATAAACCAACATCCATCATGAACATGACTGCAAAAATTTTGAACAAAATTTACAAATCAAATCCAACAGTATAAAAACAGATAAAATGCATCATGACCAAGTGAGACTTATCACAGGAATGGCTAAGTAGGTTTAACATCTGAAAATCAATGTAATTCACGGTATAAAAAGCATAAAGGAGAAAAACTATATAATCCTTTAAATTTTTTTAGTGGCTTAAATCAACACACATTTATTATTTTATGGTTCTGGAGGTTAGAGTCTCACCAGGCTCAAATGAAGATGTCACCAAGTCTAATAGCTTCTGATGACTCCAGGGGCATTTCCTCGCCTTTTCTAGCTCCTAGAGGCCACCTGCACTCCTTGGTTCCTGCCCCCTCCCCCATCTTCAAAGCTGGCAGCACAGCACCTCCAAATGTCTCTCTCTGACTCTGAACCCTGCCTCTGTCTTACAAGGACCTTTGCAATTAAATGCTCATCTCTGCATCTCGGGATCCTTAATCATTCATATTGCACATTCCTGTTACTGTGGGAGGTGCCTATTACAGGCTCTAGGGATCAGGCATGGACATTTTAGGAGGTCATTATTATGTTTACCACCATACTTCTCTCAAGGGGCTCCAAAGAAGAAAAGGCTTGGGAATGGGGCTGGACTAGGGCAGGGAGTTCACCCAATCAACAAGCCTCTATCAGAATTGGGAGTGCCACAGGTGTACCTATGGACAGGCTATGAAGAAGATGCTGCTGAGCAATTAACTCAAGCTCCATCTTAGAATATCTGGGTTTGGTGAGGTTTGACAGGCCCAGGAGGTACAAGCTGATGCTTACTGTGATCAGTGGTGAGTTCCTCATCAGTGGAGGTATTCAACTAGAGGTTATGAGATGTTTGACCCTGGTCATCTTTTTCTCCTTTTTAATTTATTTTGAAATAATTTTAATTGCAAAACTAGTACAGAGAGTTCTCATACGACGTCACCCAGCTTCTCCTAATGTTAACATTGCATGTAACCACAGTACACTGACACTGACACACTTTAACTCACTACTCTGCAGATGCCAGTGGAGTTCCACCCATTTACCCCCAAAATGTCCTTTCTCTGGTTGGAGACACCACCCAGGGTCCCACATGCATTTGGTTGCCATGCCTTCTTAGTTCCTTCCAGTTCAGTACAGTTCCTCGGTCTTTCATCGCCATGACACTTTTGAGAAGGGAGCATTGGCCTGTTATTTTACGAATGCCCATGAATTTGTGATTGAAATTTTTCATGAACCTTTCAATAGATGCAGAAATAGTATTTGACATGAGTTATAATAAGTATCTGAAAATGAAGAATAGGAGGCAAGTTTCCCAACTTATTTAAAGACAGCAATGAAAATCTGCAGCTAATATCATACACAGCTGTGGCATATTCAAAAACTTTTAGCCAGGATCAGGAAAAAAGCATGGATTTCTGTTCTCCCCCACTTCACTTTAATATTGTACTGGAAGCACTAGCCAACTCAGTAAGGCCAGAAAAAGTAATAAAAAGAATAAAGATTGGAAAAATGGAATCACGCTGTTTATAGAGGACATAACTGTTTATAGAAAACCCTTTAAAAATCTACAGAAATATCTACTAGAACAAATAAGTGATTTAAGTGATATATCAGCATACAAGATCAAACAGCAAAACCAACTTAAGTTTACATATTAGAAATAAGAAATTTAAAAATAACCTTTAAAAATGCAACTATTAGGCTGGGTGTGGTAGCTTATGCCTGTAATCCCAGCACTTTGGGAGGCCAAGGCGAGTGGATCACTTGAGTTCAGGAGTTCGAGACCAGCCTGGCCAACATGGTGAAACCCCCGTTTTGACTAAAAATAAAAAAATTAACAGGGCGTGGTTGTGAATGCCTGTAGTCCCAGCTACTTGGGAGGCTGATATGGTAGAATCACTTGAACCCAGGAGGTGGAGGTTGCAGTGAGCCAAGACTGCACCACTGTACTCCAACCTGGGCAACAGAGTGAGCCTCCATCTAAAAAGAAAGTAACTATTGCAATAGCAGGAAAAACAAGTAAATTTAACAAAAGATTTCTAAGAACTGAGTGATGAAAATTACAAAAAAATTGCAAATAAAAATTAAAGACCTAAAAAAATGGAGAGACATACTATGCTCATGGTTCAGAAAACTAATATTAGTAAGATGGCAATTCTCCACAAATTGGATATATAGGTTCAGTGTAATTCTAATAAGATCCTAAGAGGCTTTGTTGAATAAATTGACAAGTTATTTTATACTTTACATGAAAAGAGAAAATAACCTAGAATAGCCAAAAACAATCATGAACTCAAGAGTAAGCTTGAAGTGTTAGCTTTATTTGCCTTCATTACTTAAAACAAAGCTGTAGTACTCATGTCAGTGTGGCATTGGTATAAGTTGAGAATCCACAAATAAACTCACACATTTATGGCCAATTTATTTTCAACAAAGGCACTGAGGTAATTCAATGAAGAAAAAGTCTATTCAATAAATTGCACTGGAACAACTGGATATCTGTAAGAAAAAAATAATAATAAACCTCAACCTGGGTTACACAAAGATGTCTTAGACAAGACACAAAAGACTACTAAAATAGTGATAAATGAAATTTCATAAAAATTAAAACCTTTTTCTCTTTGAAAGACAGTTACAGATCATATAACTGGCAATAGGAAATTGGAATTCCATTTTAGGTATCTTAGACCCTAAAACCCTAGCCTTTTTCACCACTCCAAGTGGTCTCTAGTACTCACTCCGGAGTAAGGTAGTCTGGTCAGAAATAAACAGCATATATCAGCATATATATCTAAAGAAGCCTAGGAAATATTTGATATAATGAGTCAAAGATCAATGATATTAGCTAACATATGTATTACATAAAACTGAACTTTCTGGAAACTTTCTGTGTAGTGTAAGAAAGTAGATACCTTTTGCTTCTTCATATTACGTAGATAACCAATAAAAATGATGACATACAAAAGTAAGAAAGGCACCCAGAATGGAAATAGCACTGACTGAGCAGGGATCTGGACCCTGGTCTTAACTCCTTACTGACAAGGAGTATGACCTTAAATTTCTACACATTAGATTCCCTCTACCTAAAATACAAAGGTTAACTTAGAAGGACAAACCCTCATGCTCCTTTCAGATTCATAATGTTAGAAAAGATTCTCCAATCCTTTAGTCAACAACTTTTATTGCCAAGTTCTAACTGTGCATAGTTCCTCAGGTTGAGCGAAGAGTGTTAGCACAAACAGAGTCCGAACCCCAGATCTGAAGTCAGGACCATCACGATGGCTGGCGCTCCCCTTTGGCAGTTGAGCTGCATAGTCCCTGCTGGGGCACCGTCTGTCACAGCCCTACGAAGCCAGAGGATAAAAGGTGGGAAATGTTCACTAGCTGTGGTGTTTTATGTGGTGGGTTATTTTTCACCAGCTGCAGATGGCTCTGCAAGAAAAAAAAAGAGAGGGCATCTCAGTGACTGGCAAATCGCACCCAACAGCTTCACCAGAGATGAATGAGCTCTCTGTCTAACTGGGAGCTAGGCCTGGAGATTCACTTTGGGGAGAGTCCAGCCTCCTCTATATTTTCTGACAATCTCCATCCAAAATCCCCACAGGCCTGTGGTGTCTAGTACTGCACAATCTCACAGCCCCCATGTACTCAATTCACAATGATTAATGATGCAATGCAGTGCCTCAGACTCATCCACCCATTCTAGAAGTCCCTATAAAATAGCAGTTTGTACCTGGCCCACAGTAGGTGCTTGACAGGATATTTATCCAAATGTATTACATTGAAAAGTCCTTCACGTCTATCATTGAAAACTACAGATGGAGCTTGTTCTTTCACCTCTGTCAAATATTTTCTGAAAATAAAGCTATTTAAGCATATGAGGTTGAGCCTGATTCTATCTGATTGTCACTGTTGTTCCAAGTCGTCTTCCATTGTCCCAAATTCCTGCTTTAATTTTGAGCTAACTGAAATTGACCTCTTGTGCATCCAACACAGCTGGGGTAATGAGAAGTTCTAAAATTAACAATAACAGAGTTAGGGCTTGACCTAGCCATTAAATGGTGAAATTTGTTTGGGGCATCCAAAATATTTCCTTTTTGCATCAGCCAAAACACCACTGGCTGCTCTTTTTCACTTCTCTTCAAAAACTTGCTTTCAGAAAAAGCTCTGACATCCATCATATATACCATAGCATAAGTTTGTCAATGTGATGGAATTCTGAGGAAATTTACATCCTAAGGCATAATTCTAAATGTTTCATGAAAACTTTAGCCAACCAAATAAGCAATTCAGTTGGGAGAATTCAGGGAGAGGTTCTGTTTTTGTTTTGTTTTGTTTTGTTTTGAGACAGAGTCTCACTCTGTCACCCAGGCTGGAGTACACTGGCACAATCTCGGCTCACTGCAACCTCCGCCTCCCAGGTTCAAGTGATTCCCCTGTCTCAGCCTTCCGAGTAGCTGGGATTACAGGCGTGTGCCACCACACCCTGCTAATTTTTGTATTTTTAGTGGAGACAGGGTTTCGCCATGTTGGCCAGGATGGTCTCGATCTCCTGACCTCGTGATCCGCCCGCCTTGGCCTCCCAAAGTGCTGGGATAACAGGCGTGAGCCACCGTGGCTGGCCCTGTTTGTTATATCATAGAGACTATGTTACCTAAAAGTAAAATAGGCCTTAACTTTTTGTGTACTCTCCTCCACTACTTCTTTTGACCTTTAGCTACCCATACACCTGATTCACTGTGTTAATGATTTTGATGCTAAAAGGTGAAATGGATGGCTAATGACTTTAAAAAGCTACTACCAAGGAGTGACTAACGGTCTGGAAAGACACAAGCAGACAGCATCATGAAATACACCTGTGCCTTCAAAGAGTTAATGTATTTCTGAAGGTCTCCTCCGCTTTAGAAAGATATTCCTCACTTTGAAGTAGAAAAAAATCTAGGCGTACCTGAAGAGGAATGCTAAAAGAAGAGAGGCTGCTTTTAGGAGATATTGAACTCCAAATTTTAAATGATTTAAATGCAATCCCCATGTGCAGCTGCTAAACCAAAGCACCTCACCCCAGGGAAGAGATGAGAAATTTTGAGGGCAATTGAACACTGAGAATTCTCATTGTGGCTTAGCAAAAAGTGACTTAGCACATGTGTTTCAGTAATTATGAAGCGTCAGAGTGCTCACTGGCTCTGAAACACAGTCACAAGTATGACAACTCGGGTGCTGGTGTAAGAGGCAATCAGATGAGGCAGGAATGAACACCTTTTGCCTTTGCAATCTGCTCATGCTCTGGGCAACTTTTCTTCTGGGAATGGATGTCTGGGTTGTGCACTCACACCAAGATTATTCATTACTTTTTAAGATTAGCTGTGCAGAGCTAATCAGGGGAAGAAGAAAGGTAGAATATTTATTAGGTAACCACCATGTATTCAGCGCCTATTAGGAACCTGGAATTTTACATATACTCCTTAAAAACAAAAAGTAAAAAAAAAAAAAAAAAAAAAAAGTGAGATCTCACATACATTACAGAAAGATATAGAAACTGCAAGCTCCTCTGTCACTCTGCACAAATCATAAAATACAATGTTGCTAGGCACTCAGAGGGCCTCTGCAGATCCGTGCCTTAGAACCACCTACCTCTCCCCTAAAGGTTAGCCTCATTTATGTCACTCCTTTTACCATATATATTCCTTGTAAACATGCATTTATAAAGGCTTGGTTTAGTTGTGCTTGTTTCTGAATTATATATAAAAGGAATTAAGCAGCATGAACTCCTTTGTATCTGGCTTCTTTCATTCAGAACAAAGTTATGTTTATGATGTTCGTGTTTTTGTTTATAAATGTAATTTGTTCATTTCATTGCTGTCATATTATATTACATGACTATATCACAATTTGTTTATTCAACTGTTGATGGGCTTTGGGTTAGAACTACTATAAATAATCAGCTATGAACATTCTTATACCTGTCTTTTGAGGCAGGTGGGCATGCATTTTTAGATATATACCTAGTGGTAGAATTGAGGGTCATGATAGACTAAGGGCCTATATGGTCAAGTTAGTGTAGACAAGTAAGTCCATTATGTTATTCACACCTACAGACATTTATGGAAACTATACACAAGTAGTTTGAAATCAGGAATCATCCAACTGGTAATTATCTTGAATCTCATGCAATGTACTATAGTAGACCTGCAAATGGAAAACTCACAAATGGTGACTAAATCAGAACCAACAAAAGTCATTCATTCATTTATCAGACTTTTTTCATTGAATACTAGCTATGTACTACATACTGTGATAGGAGCCTGCATTGTTCTCTGTAGAGTAGGACTTTCTAATAGAAAATAAGAATCACAGAATCGCAGCAGTGTATAACTGAAAAGAGATACTATAGTTGAGGCCATTTATTAAATAATGAAATTCAGAGCCACAGAGAAGGAAAGGAATTTATTCAATGTCTATAGAGAGCTGTAGGATCCAGGTCTCTTGGTTCTCAGATCCAGAGAAATCTTTTCTGAGAAGGAAGAGTGGGGTCAAGGAAAGGAAAGTTGTGTGCTCATATTAATTAAATTCAACTGTTTCTGAGATTCTATTTTCCCTTTCTTCTCCCTTTTAAAGGCTAAAATAAGAAGTAGACAACTGACCAAGGTACAAAGTTTGTTTCTTCTCTCAGTCTCCAAAGACTTTGCCTCTGACATGGTCTACATCTTCCTTCCCCAGGTACCTATTCTAGCAACCCTGAGGTGCTTAAGAAACTCAATCCAACTCTTCTATAACATCTATTGATTTTGTTAATAGTCCAAAAAGCCTTGCCTTCTAAGCCTCGCCCACCATGTTGCCACAGCAGCTATGGCATGAAAGAACCACAACTGCAAGAAAGTAATGCACCTTTCCCAGATCAGATACAAGCTTTCTGGCAAATGAGATTTACATGGTCACTTTAGCTTCATTAAACCTAGTTCAGTTTGTACCTTTCCATACATTTCTCAAAAAGTTTTGAACAGTTACAATTCAGTAATCATAGAAGCTTCATTTTGACCTATTTTTCTTTAAGAAAAAAATAGGACAATGCTATTTTCTTCCAAGACATCATTAGTACTCTTGGGTTTCTTCTCACTAAAAATTGGAGAGTTCAATATTCTGTTCAATGGTAGAAAGAGCATGGGAACTGGGGGACAGAATACATGATTTATATCCAGGCTTCCAGACAAACCATCACCTCTGTCTCAAGGTTGTTTATTATGTATAATCCATTTGAAAAATTGTTTAATAGTAAGTGCTTAAAAATGTTACCCCCTTTCTGTTTTTTCCTTTATTTATTTTGGCTTAATTGAGTTCTGAAACAAGTGCTAATTTAACTCCTCAGAATAAAAAGACTGCAAGGTCTTGTCAAGCTCTGTATGATTCTGCAGAAACAGTGTTGTGTCTAGTTCCAATGGCAGCTACAGTCCCCAGCCTGAATGCAGCAATGTATGAAAAGGAGCATAACTATCTCTGGGAAGACCAAACTAAATTCAGCTTCTCTTGATGACAAATCTCCACTTTGAGAATCTGCTTCTTAAAACAACTATGTCTTTTCCATGTTTATTCTTCTTCTACCTCCCCAGCATTTCTTTTTTAAAATCTGGGGAGTCTCAAAAAGATATGAGGAAGTTCTTTTTAATTCATCTGTCAGAGTGTTATTACCCACTACATAGAGTCTCATAAGTTGTACCCCATAGAGCAGGCAATCAAAGATTCAAAAATGACATGTTTAGCTGAGCATTTTTAGCTCTGGGCTAAAAATCAATACTGGAAAGTGCTGGAACATGGCTCATCTTGCTGTGAAAACACTCAATCAGGGCTCAACCTACAGCAGAGTTAAATTAGTAGAATACTTATCTTTCAAAGTGTTCAATTGGGAGTACTCAAATTTTGATGCATTTTAGTTGGGTACTAATTAGCAACTAGCTGACTGCTAAATGGACTGTCACCTTTCCTTTCAACAATTCACTGAAAATTAGTCCCTCAACGTTATTTGAACACAGAGGAAATGGGTTGGGAGGGCTAGAGTTAAAGATGGGATTTCATTTGGTGCATTTATGTGAGAACTTTTAGTGTGCTGCTGGTATTTAAGGACTTCAGTAAATGCAAAAGAGGGGAAAAGGTTGGGAATGACAGACAGTGAGTTCTGCTCAGCAGGCGTTGACGCTGTAGTCAAAGTATGAATGGATCTAGTTCTTTTTAAATGTTAATAAGCTTCTACACTGGAAAGGATTTCATATGTAGTTGCTATAATATCAGGCACTGGCCTATTCTGTGGTTGCTGAGGTAGCTTGGGTGTTTGAATTATTGCCAATATTAGGTGAGAAGGAATTCAAAAGAGATGTTTAAATGTTAATACAAAAAAAATCCTACATTTGAAAAGTAAACGTAAACTATAGGTATTTTCTTCACATCTGTTTCTTAATTGTATTATTTTGATATAGAATTGACTTTCAGTCCATCATGACATTAGCTATCTTAGTAACAGAAAATGCATGAAAGGCAAGCATAAGCATGGGCTGAGGTAAGTAGGATCTCTACTTTCCAGTGCTTAGAGAAAAGTGTTTTCCTGAGTATGTAGTCATTTTATTGCAGGGTTTAGATCTCAAATCTTCACATTCTTCCCTAACTTCTTAGACAGCAAATGTCAAAGAAACAAAGTGATGTGAGAGGAGGTGGAGTGATAATAATTTGGATCTAATAAAAATTAAATGATAATTGTCTTGGCTTCCAGAAAAAAAGTCAAACCTATCCTAGGCAGAGTTTAATATTGGAATTATAACAACAAAAAATTGACTCAATATGCTCTTACCAGATGTATGCCAGGGTCTAGACGCCAAAGTCACCCCGGCCAGAAACGGTCCCTACCCAGTCATCTAGAAAAAAGAAAACAAATAGCCGTTGGAGAGAAACTGATTGCATTAGTCCAAACCCTGAGTCCAGTAAAACAGAGAAATTAGAGTTTATTGATGTTGAGCAACAGCATTGAGCATTTCCCATAAGACCTTCTGAACAGGGTGATCTTAACTCTCAGGCTAAGAGACCTATAATTTTAGGTGTATGAAACAACTCCTGGTACAGAAACTTAATTGTCAAGAGAGTGAAGGCAGATCTATCATGTGGGAAAATGGAGGACAGAAAGTATAAATTACAGGATTATATAAATGTATAGATTCCATGAAATACAAATGATGATGGGTTTTGGAAATAAAATAGCAGATTAAAGTTTATCTTAAAAACATGTATGATACCAAGCTTAAAATAAACCTTGAAAAAGAAGGGTAATGAGAAGGGGTATGTCCTGCCTAATAATAAAACAAATATAACTGTGACAGTAGAATTCTTATGTTTGGCCTGTGAGCTAAGAATGTTTTTTGTTGTTTTGTTTGTTTGTTTGCTTGTTTTACATTTTTGAAGCTTTGGTAAGAGGCGAGGGAGGGAGTGGAGGAAGAATCAATGCAACAGAGGTGTATATGGCCTACAAAGTCTGAAATATTCATTGTCTGCACCTTTTCTGAAAAATATAACCTTCAATTTATAATGTACATATACATTATTTATATTTTTAAAATATATTTTATAATATTTTTTTAATTGACTGCCTAGTCTCTCTGCTGGAGGAAATGAAAGGAAAAGTCAGTTACCTATGTAACAGTGATCTGCGAATCTTTACTCGGGGCAAACACTGAAATAATAGGATACCTTTTTCTTCCTTTACCAGCTCCACATACTCACTGCTAAGAAAGATGACCTACATTCCAAAGGACTGGATCGAAGGTTACATACCAGGTATGAGACAATAATCATTGGAAATAAAAGCAGGCCCCAGGACAGCTGATATCTCTCCTCTCTCCTGAAGAGGAAGTTGAAGTGAACTGAAAAGGAAAGGGAGAGGGTCGGGATTTGTGGAGAAAAAAACAAAATATTTGCTCCTCTTGATGACTCCAGCTCTCCTAGGATGTGCCTTTCAGGTCCTTCTCAAAGTTTGGTGGTTCCCTGGGACACAAAAGACCACCATTTTGTTTCTCATTTACTCCTCCATAGACAAGAAAGATATTGGATGGGGTGTACTGGGAGAAAACAGAGCAGTGGGAAGAGCAGACTGCAGACAGTGCCAAAGGAAGACGCAGGACTCAGGAATATATTCCTCCCTGCCCTTACTCCCAGCTCAAGGCACAGATCCATGCATTTCTGTACCTATGGTGTGGGCCCAGAGCGAGCCAGCGGAATTCAATGAGGTCACGAGGAATAAGTTAGCCTCCGTTGCTATCCCTATCCAAAGGTTGTCTGGCATAGCAGGAAAACTCCTACAGCAAAAATAAGAGGAGGTATGCTTGTGGGAGCAAAGGACTGAGTGAAGAGAAACTGAGCCTTTTTAAAATCACCAGTAGGTGCAGGAGGGTGTCCAGGCAGCCAGGACACTTAATGGGCCACCCCTTAGAGCTAACAGTAAAAAGTGATTGGGGGCAGCCAGATGGCAGCATGAAAGCTGTGTGCTGTTGAAAATGGGATACTAGTAAGTGGAAAATGACCAGAAAAAGAGAACAAACCACTTCATCGAAACCTCTGCCCAGGTGTTTTCTGTATATTTAGAGGTTTCTGAATTGCCGATGCTTATCCACTTAACAATAATAAGCAACAACTTAACAGTAGCTAACTAGTAAGAACTAAACTACCCTGTTGGAAGAACTAGATAAACATTACTTACGGGAAAGGAATCACTATTATGCTCTCTCTCTCTCCTTCTCAACAGGTCAGCCTCCTTCCTACATATTAGTTATATTTAGAGTGACCACAGAATTTATTTGGAAACTTTTGAGAGTAAAGAGTATGTTACTAATGATTTTGCCAGAACCAGGAATAAACAGATTCTGTCTGGAGCAACCAAGAATGCATGGTTACCCTAGCAATATTTGTGCCCTTTCATTTTCACAACCACAGGCTTCGTAACAATAAAAGCTGTCACAAGGAAGTGCCTACAATGTCAGGTGCTTTACCTATGTTGTACCATATTATCCTCAAAGCTACCCTATCAAGTAGGTATTATTTTCACAGTTTTATAGAAGAGGAATCTGAAACTCAGAAAGGTTAAGTAACTTGCCTAAGGTCACACAGCTTTGATCCAACAAGAGAAGATTTTATCAAGCCTGTAATATACATGAAGTCTTTTGCTAGCTGTTTCCACATTTGATATGCCATGTTAATACTTAACCTTTGAGAAGTGGGTAAGGATGTATCTTTACAGATGAAGAAATAACATTTCAGAGGAGTTATTATGTTATTCAAATTCAACCAATGCAGGAAGTGCAGAAGTCCAGGTTGAACCCAGGGCTCTCCGAACCTGATGTGTATAGGGTTCTCAGCTTCCTATGCTGCCCTTCAAGGGGCTGAAAGGGAATGTTCTCAGTCTTTAATTGCTGAAGCCTAGTTTGGTTTAAAAAAAAAAAAAAACAGAGTGAACAGACAACCGATGATGAAGTTCAGGTTTTCCATTACTTTTATCATTGGAGCTTTGTACCTGTCAAAGATACATTTGTTTAAGATGCCTAGAAAAAAAAGCCATGCTAAATTATCAGCACCACAAATGAGGCATAAACCTGTAGCTCTCCATACCAGAACAAATCTCACTAAGATGCTACCAAAATTAGAGAGAATCATGTTTATGTGCAGTGTTCCCAGATAGCCTCCTGCAAGGCACACAGCGAACAGAATGCACTCATCCTTACCGACTCATATCCAGGCCTTTCAAATGACTTACATGGAACCAGGGTAACTACACACTCCATCTCTTCAACATTGAGATATGTAGCTGCAAATCCTTTTCGACCCTCAAGTAGATGAACGGTGTGCATACAAGCTATCTAAATTTGTGAGTAGCCAGAAAGAATTGAAGGTGGTCAGGAAGTGTGCAAAAATTAGAAAAACAGTGCCTCAGCCTGCCTTCCCTGGTGACCTGAAGGGAAATATAATAGAGTTAGTTTTTGTAACATGTCTTATTACTGTATTAGGATCATGTTAAGCATACTGTCAAAGCCTGATACAAGTGGGGTAATCCTAAAGAAAAGACTAGAAAAAGTCTAACAGTGAGTTATTTTCTGAGGGAAAATAGATATTCCCAGGACACCCTCGAAAGCAGAGGTCTTTCTCTGAAAATTAGTTCATCCTTCAGCTTATGAAGTCACCTTCCTGAACATGAGATGAGATTAGGACCATGGGCTTTGCTTTCAGGCAGAGTTGGATTAAAAAGTTAATTCTGGGACTGACTGGCTTCTTTCAGCTTGGGTTAGTTTATCATCTGTGAGACTCAGTTTCTTCCTCTATAAAACATGATCGTAACACCAACTTCCAAGGGCTGTGGTAAAAACTAACCCGAGAGATCATATATGTGCACACCAGGCAAAGAAGACAACATGGAGTCATGTAGTAGAGGCTTAGTGAAGGTTAATTTTCCTTACATTGCTCTAAATGTTTGACCTTCTGTGAGACACTCAGTTTCTCAAAGTTTCAGTTTCTTGATTTGCAAAATGTAAATAATAAAATTTGTGAGCATTAAACAAGAGAATATATGTAAAGTACAAATCACAATTCCAGGCACAAGTCTAGCACTCAGTAAACATTACTTCATATCCCTCCAGTGCTATTTCTCCAGGCAGACCTTCTGTTCAGTTGCACTAGTAGATACTGCATTATATTTGCCCAAAGTTTGCACAGAATCATAGGAGTTAAAATAGTGCTGCTATTCCTGAGCAATGAAAGAAGTGAATGGTGTCTGCCTGGTTTTGGCCGTCACACCAGTTGAACCAATCTAGAATATGTGGCCTTTGCATTAACCCAGAGCCTTCCAGCCTACTTCTACCACTCAACTGCAGCACAGTGACCCACCTCCTGCAGAGGCTCATTATCATAGACACTGATTCATCATGCTGGGCCTTGCTAGCAGCTTTCTAGTCACTCACTTCATACTTCTCGTGGCAAATTATATTTGACTTTCAATTTAAAATCCAGAATACTCTGAAATAAAACCTCAGTGTAATCATGGTGATAAAGCAGTGGCACGTGCAGTTTTGACAGGATGAGATTTTTTGTTGTTGTTCATCATGAAGAATCTCCTTCTGCATAGACCCATGCCCAAATCTGACCTCCAAAAGCCCCACACACATATCAGGGAATGATAGATGATTCACTCATCCACACTACCTTGAACTTATAGGGAGCTCACAGCACTAGAAGTTTCTTTTAGAAGCAGAGGATTACTGTCCTATTGAAAGTCATGGAGTCTTAGTTAGGCTTGGTTCAGTGAGCATGAAATGAATGAAGTTAGAAATGGAAAGAAAAGCCATATCTCAGCAATAAAGTTTTCATCTTATTTAATCAAACACATATTTGCATATTTCTTTGGCAAAGACATCAGGTTCTCCAGTTGACAAAATAAAGCAAAATCTGCCAAAGGAAATTGTTTTGGTTCTCTCTCCTGAATAAGAAACATTAACGCCAATTTTTCAGCATTAAACTTTGGTGGCTATTACTGCTATTTTCAAGTCCATTTGACTATCAAGTCCATTTGACTTAATGAATTTCAAAAACACAATCTGGGATTCCGAGTATTTAGAGAAAGGATACTTAATTTCAATAGATTATCAATTGCATGAAAGTTTGCAAAGGTTGGTCAACTCTGGTTGAGCGATCAATCCAAAAGTATTTACATTTGGTCCTAAGCTACAAGCATACTTACATTTAAGTATGGATGTTGGACTTGTATCCTATAAAGTACTTGATATCTTTAGCATCTTGGCCTTGGAAACCTTAAAATTAGCTACAAATTGGGGAATTATTTAAACCTAACTTTTGCAAGCATTCTTCATGATACTTCTTCACATATAATGTTGTCATACTGATTTATACATGATCTCCTCCCTTAATGCCTTCCAACTGGAAAGCAAACCGTTGAACAAGCCAAATTTAATTCTGATATTGAAAACTTTATAAGTGCCAAAAATATAAAACCCAAAGATAATTCAACTTGCCATTGGAGATATGTAAATTATATATATTAAAATTTACAGCTTATCAGATATTTTCTATAAAAGCATTTCAGCTGCATAGAAAATTGGTATTTATAAATATTTGACAAATTTCCCTATGCCATAAATTTAAAGAATAGGCAAAATGCTGTTTGCCCCCAATGACATTGTAACCAAGGGAAAGAGTTGTGTGATTCAGCCTCCAAAGAACTGTGCAGGGACTCCCCTGGCTGTATTTTCTTCAATCTCCCCATTTGCCACTGATTTCAATGGTTCCTCTTTTTCTCACACCATCTGGTATAATCTGGCCATGACTATTTTTATGACTTAAGAAGAAGAAACACTGCCTCAACACACAAGAGGTTTCCAACTTTAGTCTTTGAGAGCCATTGCCAGGAAAAGAAAGTGGGGATGAAGACAAAAATTCCAGAGACTGACCAGATGTGAGCAGCACCTGTTAATGTTCCCCCTAACTTCTCTGTGACTGGGGTAGATCTGTATCATACACTATAATCAGAAAGCAGTACTGTGCTCAGCCAGCTTCTCATCTTATGCTCTCATCTTAAGACTTCACAGTCTTACTCACAATTAAATTAATATGACAGGTTATCTTTCTTGTCAATAAAACCATTGTCCCTGGAATTCCTCTTCCAACCATATATTTTTCTCAAGGCCCTTCTTTGGTCCAAGATCCATGTTAATATAATAGTCAATATCTATTGAGTATTTACCTTATATTGGCCAATTTACCAAATTCTTTATATATTTTAACTCAAAATAATGATATTATTACCATTTCCATTTTACTCATGAGGAAATGAAGGCATAGACTGGTGGAAGCATTTAATGTGAACTCCAGAAGACTAAGTCCCACAAAGTTAGGCTTAGCATCTTCTTACCCTTACTGTTCTCCAGAAACAGTACCTTGTTTTCTCAGCCTGGCATTATTAGTAAGGTCACATATTTGATTCTTAACTTTTGAGCTTCTGATTCCTAATTGCCTTGGTGAAAATGTATTTTGAGTTCTAATTATGAAATTGGCACTGAGTCATTACTTTAAGGTACATGAAGCCAACCAAAAACCCATCTCTAACTACCATCATTGGCTTCTTCCACCAACTGATCCATGGATCCTGACTTATGCTGGCTCAGAAGGTAAGGAAGTTTTGATTCAGTAGAGTCAAGAATATTGTCCCATTCCTGGAGTCAGGGATTCTCTTACAGAAGAGAAGGGAATAGTGTTCTGAGATGAGCCCTCTAAAAATACCTAATCTGCCTCATTGGGAAAGATTCACAAAGGAAGAGAGGGAGTATGTTGTAATAGGAATTATAAAGGCACTGTGATGTGGCCTGAAAGTGAGAAAGACACCAAAAGTACAAAAAATTGTAACAATAACCACAGAACCCATTTGTGAAGCATCTGATATATGCCAGCAATATACCAGTGATTGTGACAATGATGATTATGATGATAACAATAAAAAAAATGCTTATATAGTGATTCTTATGTGCAGGCATTGTTCTAAGTTCTTTATATATCATAACAAATAGAATCTTCACAACAATCCTATGAGTTATATGTTATTAATATACTCTAGAGATACGAAAGGGACTCTTATGTTGAGCAATTTGCTGCATGTTGGCTCAAAGATGGGTTCTAGAATATCCTCTCATAATGAAGCCCCAATTTGCAATATAAGACATAGTTTGGTACTGAAAACCCAAAAGACTTGACACTTCTCTGAACTTTCAGACAAAGATGGGTGGGGACGAGGAAAGAAAACAAATAACAATAAAACCTCTACTCAGGAATAGCTACCACAGATATTTCAAAACACAGAACTTTATAGAAACTAACTTTATAGAAAACAGCCAAATTACTCATGAAATGAAAGACTATGTCTTGGGATGTAAAAATGTTGGAGATTTCATAAATAATTTCAAAGTATATATTTAATTTAATTAATTAATTTATTTATTTAGATAGGGTCTCACTCTGTCACCCAAGCTAGAGAGCACAAGCTGGAGAGCTGGTGGCACAATTATAGTTCACTGCAGCCTGAAACTCACTGCAGCCTGAAACTCCTAGGCTCAAATGACCCTCCCACCTCAGCCTCCAAAGTAGCTGGGATTACAGGTGCACACCACCACATCCAGCTAATTGTGTGTGTGTATGTGTGTGTGTATATGTGCGTGTGCATGTAGGTAGATGGGGCCTCATTATATTGCCCAAGTTGGCCTTGAATTCCTGCCCTTGAATGATCATCCCACCTTGTTGCCCCAAAGCATTGGCATTATAGGTAGGAGCCTCCATGCCCAGACTTAAAATAGATATTTTATGAATCTGAAAGAGTTAATGACAAAAATACCATTCTTAAAAGAACAAGAGATTATGAAACAAAAGAGACAGATATAAATCTAATATTAATAAATATGAAAAAAACTGTCAATTAGAAATTCAGAAAATAAAAAAGTGTAGCCACTGAAAAACTTTTGCAATAGATGATATAGAGTAGTAATATTAATAGCATGGTATACGATTCCCATAACTGATTGAGAATCATTAAACTGAAAGATAGTCCTAATGAACTTGCCCAAAATCATTATAATGAACACAAAAATGTGAAATAAAACCTGTTGTAGTATTAAGAAACTCCAACTATAAATTCAAGAATAAGCAGAAGCAATATTTGAAGAAATAATGACTACAACTTTTTAGGAAAAAATTAAAAACAGGAAAACTCAGATTTAAAAGACACAGTGCAACCTTGGGTTAATTACAAAATAAAAACAAAAGCAAACGGTAAGGTATACATTTATTATTTGACTCAGCAATCTTACTATTAGAAATTTATCCTAAGGATACACATCAATAAACTAAAGCAATATATGCACAAGTTTATTCATGGTGGAACTTTTATTATACCAAAATATTAGAATAACTTCAATGCCCATCCATAGAAAGCCAATTGAATAAACTTGATTTATCATCGTAATGGAATATTATACAGCTGCTAAAACAGATTGAGAAAGATCACTATGAATTCATATACAGTGATTTAGAGGATACGTCATTACATGAAAAAAGCACAGAAATATATAAAGAATATACAGTGTTTGCTGTTAGAAAGTCTGAAAATATGTATGCACATATGTTTATTTTGGCAAAAAGAAATACAAGACAGATTGAAACAGAAACAAAAATAACAACAAACAGGTCACCTAGAAGTGGTGAGTAGGAACAAGATGAAAGGGTTAGAGAAGGGAATAAGGCTTCTCAGAATACACAGTGAAACAAAATGAATATAGAAAGAAAGCAATGTAGTCAATAAATTAAATAAATTGGTTTGAAAATGTTGGCAAATCTATTAAGTAACATCTTTTTTAAAAGAAGCCATTATTACTATACTTCGTTAGTTTAAAAATACTCAAAATAGAATTTTATCACAGCAAAATTTTGGAAATGCTAATTTCTTTGTCTTATTTTTGTAGGAAGAGTTTCTAAGATCCTTTAGTCATGGTTTAAAAACTATATTAAATATGTATGATAGAAATGTAACAGTAATCTCTAAGAAAATAAATATAATTTAAATCTTCCAAGGTAATGGGAAAAAAGCATCAAGACAATTTTGTCAAAGAGATGAAAAAAAAAAAAAAGCTAAGTGAAAGAGAACCAATATAAAATGGCTACAACACATCATAATGTTTCAAATATAAGGAGATTAAAACCAATTTGACAAGGCTGAAGAAATAAATAGTCAAAGATAAAGAATGTCTGAACATTGGACATAGAAATATTCACACATGGCCAGGCGCGGTGGTTCATGCCTGTAATTCCAGAATTTTGGGAGGCTGAGGAAGGCAGATCACAAAGTCAAAAGATCGAGATCACCCTGTCTCTACTAAAAAATACAAAAAAATTAGCTGGGCGTGGTGGTGCACGCCTGTAGTACCAGCTACTCAGAGGCTGAGGCAGGAGAATCACTTGAACCTGAGAGGCAGAGGTTGCAGTGAGCCAAGATGACGCCACTGGACTCCAGCCTGGCGAAAAAACGAGACTCCATCTCAAAAAAAAAAAAAAAAAAAAAAAATTATATATACATATATATACACACACATAAATAAAAATGTGCACCACTGCCAGTTCTCCCATCCTCAGACAGTCAATTCTCTCACTTTTGGGAACCACGTGAAAAAAGCCTTGGAGAATTTGGAGAATCTGATTCTAATTTCACAATTAGAAGAAGGAAAGTAAATATTTTGAACAAATATTATTGAAGCAAGTAAATATTTGTTCAAATTAATTTAGCAATGAAAAATGAAATATTAAAAAACCAGAAGCACCTTAAGAAAATGAATTTGGGGACAATATTCTAGGCAGGGCTGACTTGACAATATCCTGAATCCTTCTTCCCAGAGTCATACAGACACAAACACACAAACACTATTTTCATGTGATCTCATGGTTTGAAATTCCACCAGTCAGAGATGCATATGGGTTAAGCATCTAAATATACGAACACATCAGGGTTTATGGAAATTCTCTGCTATACGTGGAGGGCTTAGAGGGGAAAGGGTGAGGGGAATATGAATTTTGGAAAGTGCAAAGAAAGGAGTGAGTGCACAGATAAATGAAAGTGATGGGAAATTAGGCAACTGGGTGCAAAGACAAAAGGAAAGGAGAAGGTGCCAAAGATACTTCATCTGCTCACAAATCTTGCTTTAAGCTCAGATCACATGTTTAAAAGATGCAGGAAAAAAAGAGTTATCTCATTCTCTCTTCTGACTCCTCCTGAACTGCATGGCTCTGGTTAGCAGGCGATGGCATTTATGGCTCTGCTATCAGTCCTTCTGTTATGCCAGGATTAGAGATGCTTTGGCTGCCAAACACAGAACTAAATTAACCTATACCAATATTTCTACAAGTTATTGTGTTCCAAGACAAGCCATAGGCGTGAAGCAGATGTTCTCAAAGCATATATTTGACAAAAGATTAATGTCCAGAGCGGTATGT